GCATGGGAGCCGGCATCCGGGCAGGCGTCGGAGGAGTGGGCAGGGGACACACAGGCACACTCAGCACGACAGTGCCCCAGCTGACTCGGGAACAGATGGGGGAGTAGCAAGAGGGGCAGCCAGCCCTGGGGCTGGGCATGGGGGCCCTGCAGGGAGCGGGAGTCAGTGGGGGAAGAGCTCGTCCCTTGGCAGTGTTGACTGCAGCTGGGCAGAGAAAAGGTGGACCCATAGCTAGTCTGCGTTGTAGGGACATGCCACTCAGGCGGGGGTGGGGGGGTGGGGGGGTGACAATGGGGCTAGAGAGATGGTCAGGGCAGAGCGTGCAGGGTCTGGTTAAGGATCTGGGCTTGTCTGGGAAGTGGAGGTTATTGGAGTGTTGAAACATGGGAGCAATGTGGTCAGAAGTGAGTTTCAGGAAAATCTCCCGGCGGCCACGGTCCACTTGGGGATGGACTAGAGAAAGATACTGCAGAGGTGGCGGGACCCACGACGGCATCAGTGCAGAAGGAAATGAACAGCAAGGCTTGAACCAGGAGGAGGCAGGTGGGAGGAAGAACCAGATGCAGAGCTCTCTAAGAGCCCAGTCAGAGGACGAGGAGACAAGGCTCCTCGATCTGGAACGCAAGTCACAGACACGCCTACAAATGTGATGTGTTTGTTTCACACAAAAATAAGTCAGGAGATGGCAATCGGGTTGAGCCAAACACTGTCTGATGCTATTCCCCTACTCTTGGGCTCTGCCATCCTCAGATCTAGGCCCTTTGTCTGCCTGCATGTGGCCTCGGGGTCACATGACGGCTGCTGCACCTCCGCCCTCGTCTCAGGCAGAAGGAGACAAAGACCTTTTTCTTAGTAAACCTTTGACTTTTCATTTGGGAAGGGATGCCCTCATCTTATTGGCCAGGACAATGTCATGAGGCCACCCCTGGCTGCAAGGAAAACTAGTGACTTCAGTGGAGAACATTGGCACCTGGACACATCAGCTGAGTTAGCCAGGAGGCAGGTGAGCACTGGGTGTGCACCTAGCGGCACCTGCTCCAGGGGAGGGCCCACATTCGGCAAGCCAAGCCTAGAGAAACTTAGAGTTCAAAGTGCCCCTAGGGAGATGGCAGTTAGACACTGGAAGATATAGATTTGGGGCCCTCAGTTCATAATGGCAGATAATCTTCCAGAAGCTTCCTAGCCCATTCTTGACTCTGCTCTATGGAAACCACGTGCCTTCTCCACCTACCCACCAAGGTAGAATGGGGAGAGGCACCAGGCCCCCAGGAGAAATGTGCCGGCCCTAGCCCTGGGTGGCACCTGTGTGCCGGCCCTGGCCCGCCTGCGCCCGCACCTCCTTCCTGGTCACCCACAGTCCACAGGGCGAGGATGACGCCTGGGGATGGCTGACGGGGGCGGCAGGGCCCTGCAGGGCTCTGTGCACCCTGAGAGCCCTTGCCCAGGCAGGACTCGCTGTCCATCCGTGCCCTTGCTCTGACCCTGGCCGTGCGGGGGAGGGAAAGGCGCAGCCGGGACCCTCACTTGTACTCAGGGCTGTCAGGAAGTTAATTATCCTTTTTAATTATGCGGAGAAGGGCCTTTCCTCAGCGGTTTGCTCTTCCACATAATCAGAGTCGGGAATGTGGCCAGGCAGCCTGCGGGAGCCCGGGGCGGGAGCAGGCAGGCGGGCTGTCCTGACCGTGGCACTGAGCTGCCCCTTAGCGGCGCCTGCCATGAAATGCTCCCTCACTCCTCTGACAGCGCAGGTCACAGGCGCCTGGGCCACCCCTGCCACCGCCTCTACAGGCTCCCCCAGCGCCAGGCTCCCCAGCAAGAGCTTGGTGCCCCATCCCTCCCCAACTCAGCAACCTCGGGCCACTCCTGCCACTGGCCTTCCAGGGACTCCCTAAGGTGCCGCAGGTCACCTCCCCCGTGTGCACCGGGTGGCAGCTCTGCCTGACCGCCTCCAGAGCCCTGAACACCCACAGAGACAGTGCCCACTGCGGCTGCCACTGCGGCTGCGTCCTCCAGGCTGTGAGCACTCCTGGGGCAGGAACCACATTTTAATACTGCGAGGGAGATGGAGGCTGAATGGATGCAGGAACGGATGAGTGAGTGGATGAACGTCCGGAGACTGATCTACCTCACAGAGGCACAGCCCCAGCCGCACAAGCCTCCAAACGGCTGAGGGTGGTCCCAGGCTGTCCATACTGTCTCAGTGGTGGGGCAGGTTCCGGGACAAGGAGGCAGGGGGTGTCTGATGAATGTTCCTCCTGGGTTTGACAGAAAGAGCAGACCTGCCTGGGCATGTGCTCTGCCACACATTGACCTTCGAAAGGCTAGTCCAACAGACTGGGCAGAGAGCAAGGGCCACCCCAGTGTCACACTCAGAGCTCACTCCACACACTCGGTCTCTGTCCAGCCGGGTTCCCTGGTCTCTAGCCTTTTCTGGAAGCCACTACAGAGTGGACATTCAGGGTCTGAGCTCCTAGCATCTGTCTCCCCTTCTCCTTGGAGGTCTCACTCCAGTTTCTGTTCCGGTGATCACCCCTCCCTACCCAGCGGGCCCACCTCCAGCGCTGGCCCGTTCCTCTTGGGCCAATCAGCAGGTCCCAGCTCAGGCCCCAGCAAGGGGGTCAGGACTGGGGACCTGACCACGTTAGGCCAATTACATGAAAGAGATTTTCTGGGGGCTTCCAGGAAGAAAGTGTGCAGGTATCAACCTGCAACCACTGGGGACCCAGCCCCCAAGTGAAGCTGACGCCCAGAGGATGGGGGACCAGGAATACCCCAGAGGACCAGCAGGCAGCCTGGACGCCCACTGCCAGCCACCAACTACACTCACCGCAGGTTCTGAGCAGAAGCACGAGGTGTGGAGGCCTCTTGCTATGTTCCTGCATGGAGCCTGGTGCTGGGGGTCGGTGAGGTCAGGGGTGTGGACACTTAAATTCCCAGAGGCAGGGCCAAGGGTGCCCAGGCCAGCCGAACTGAGTGAAGCCACTCCAGCCTGGCTCCCCAGTGCAGCCGAGGACGAGGGCGGGAAGCCAAGCGGCACAGGGTGGGGGCCGCTGTGCAAGGCCTTGCGAGCGGGCAGGATGGGGCAACGGAGTTCCCTAGGCCGCCCGAGACCTGAGATACTTGACAGTGGAGTCTGCAGGGCCCATGGCCTTGGGTGTGGGGCAGGGAGGGCAACCAGCACTGGCCAGCCGTGTGTCATGATTTCAGGTGCCAAGTCCTGAGACTTAAAATTCTGTTTCCTGCCGGCAAATTGGTTCATAACATATAGAAAAATAAGTTCATAGATGTTCTAAAGATTTTGACAGGGTTTCAAGAGGCCCACACCTTGCAGGAAGCCCCGTGGATGCCTCCACCCCTGGCCTGGCCCTCCCCGGACACCCCCACCCCCACGCAAGGGACCGGCCTTCCTAGGCCTGGCTTATCCCGTCCCAGCTCAATCCTCCCCCGTCTTGCCCGCCACACTCTGGCTCGAGAGTGCAGAGGAGTCTCAGAAGGAGCGCTCTTCCCAGCCCTGGCCTGGACCTCCTAGGGCATGGGGTCTTCGGGAGCCACCAGCCTCTGGGGGGCCCCCGAACCCACATCCCCAGCCTGCCTGCGAGCCGGGAGCCCTGCCCAGGGACTGGGCCTCCGTGGCCTCGGCAGCCCAATCAAGCCAGGCTTTGCCAGCCCTCCAGGGCACTATGTGCCCCGCTGCCAGGTGTGAGACCCGGCCCGCTCCTTTCTACTGCTCCCCCCCTTCACCGACCTCTCAACACGTCCTCCACTCCATCCTGGCTCTGGCCTCTGCTTCCTGCCCCGCCCCGCAACTCGCCAACCTGCTTGTTCAAGCTGCCGCCTCTGAACGCCCCTCAGGCTGACATGAACCCGATGAGAAGCTGGCTCCCAAACACACAGCCCAGCTCAGACTCCAGGCAGCTGCCCCTCCGCAGTGGGGTGGGGACCTCGAACCCTGCCCACCCACCCCTGCCTGTCTCTGCAGCCGCCCCTGCTGCAGAGCAGGCTTTTCCTACCAAAGTGCCCAGCTCAAAGCCACCACACCGTGATACATCTTTGAGTCTCGTGGCAAAATCTAACACAAATGCTTTCTCTTGGCTAATGTGCTTCAAATGACAATGTTTTACGTATTCACGCTGAAATAAAAGTGAAGACTCCCCATGTTGAGAGGTGGATGCACACCCCACGGAGCCCAGGGCGGGCTCTGGCAGGGACGAAGGGCGAGGGAGGAGGCAGGGCAAGCGGAGGCCCCTGTGACTGCCACTGCTTGTGGACCGTGGGTGGCAGGGCCACCTGAAGGACAAGGCAGGGCCACAGCAACGCCAGCTCCTGCGAAGTCCAGGGCTCCACCCACAAGCCAAGCTCAGTCTCTGACACTCAGCTCACCGCTTTGCTCTTACGTCAGCACAGATTTACGTGGAGACAGGCTCCTCCGCCTGGAGTCCAGGCCGGCAGCTGGCCTGTGAACGCCAACGCCTGCAGCTCCCGGGAAGCCGCGGCTGCACGTGCCACGGCTGCTCAGACCCGCCAGGCCCACCAGCGGACACGAAGAGCCCGGGGCTGGCGCGCAGGGCCCCACGCTGAGGGAGAAGCCAGGCCCGAGAGCTTGCCCCTGACCAGGCCCTGCCAGACCGAGGCCTTCCCTGTGGCCTGGGGCCAAGGGCTCACATCCATCCCTGTGCCATCGCTCACCCAGAAGCCACCGGACCTCCTGGAGCTTGGTCCCTGACTGCTAGATTGTCATGTTTTAAATGAGGTCAAACGGGACGGCGCCCAGCTGCCTCCTCGGCGCCCACCCCGGCCCCTGGCTGCAACAGCCCCTCGGCTGCGTCAGAGCCCAGTCGCACTCAGAAGGGGACGTGGTGGCCCTGCGGCTGGCCCACCAGTGCCCGCCTGCGAGGGGGGCTGTCTCGGTAGGAAAGCCACAGATAACCACGGTTCCATCCACACTTACAGAAAAGAGGAAGGAGAAAAGTAAACACACACACATTTCCTGAGTGTTTTCGTCAGTTTTTGTTTCGTCTCGTTTTGAACACTAAGATTTATTTTCAAACAGCACACAGACCGTCTGCAGGGCCGGGCTGGGCTGGGCTGGCTCTGGGCCCACCCACAGCAGCTGCCAGAAAAAGGCCCCTTGCCCGTGACACGGCCGAAGCTTCAGGCAAGCGTGTGGCTGGGCAGCCCCGCCCCGCCCCGCCCCGAGGCCCGCACACACGCGGCACGGGCAGGGCGCGGGGCTCAGCGAGGGGTCACAGCCGCTCGGGAACACCGGTGAATCCCACCGACTTGCGGGACGGGCTCCTTGGAAAACCACCCAATCTCTGGGAGAACACCTCGTAGGTCTCTCCTCTTGATTTCCCTCTGTTTTGCAAAAGTTTAAAAACAACAACGAAAAAAATAAAAATAAAAGAACCACACATTTTTCGGGAAGAGGTGTTCTTCACATGCCAGAGGCCACTCCGTCACTGCACTCGCTCGGTGAAGTTCTCAGGGAAGACACCACGGCACTTCTCCAGCTCCTTGTGCTGGTTCCAGTCGCTCTCCTTCACGCCCATGAGCCAGCCTTCATCCTGCGGGCACAGCCGGGTCATAATCCCACAGGCAGGCATGCGTCTCCCGTCCTGCTGCTCTTTTCCCTCAGCCCGCCAAGCCCACCCTAAGAACACCTCCTCCAGGCAGCACTCCCTGATGCTTGCCGAGACCTGTGCCCACTGCCGCCCCGCCGCAGCCAGCCACCCTCAGCAGGCGGACTGAACCTGGCGCTATTCTGGCGACCCTCCTCACTCTGGAAGGGCAGCCTCACGGCCGCCCTGGTCGGGCATGTCCACAGTCCCCTCACTCAGGGCAAGGGGCTTCCCACCTGCTGGCACCCGCAAAGGACATAACTGTCGTTCCAGGCTTCCAGACGCCTACACACAATACCAGAATGTTCTAGGAGCAAGGACCAGTTAAAAGCTTCTAGAGAGATCCACGCCATCCCATCAACAATCCCTTCAGCTCCAACTGCCCCTTGGCTTTAACACTGACCCCTCACCACTCACGGGGCTCCTACCTGCACCCTGACAACCTTCCAGCCCCATACCCTGGCCCCTGGAACTGCAGTGGACATACACCCATGGCTGCATCCCTACCCATGGCTGCACCCCTGCCCATGGCTGCAACCCTACACATGGCTGCACCCCTGCCCATGACTGTATCCCTAAACATGGCTGTATCCCAGCACATGGCTGCATCCCAGCACATGGCTGCATCCCTACACATGGCTGCACCCCTGCCCATGACTGTATCCCTAAACATGGCTGTATCCCAGCCCATGGCTGCATCCCAGCCCATGGCTGCATCCCTACCCATGGTTGCACCCCTACCCATGGCTATACCCCTACCCATGGCTACACCCCTACCCATGGCTATACCCCATGGCTGTATCCCTACCCATGGATACACCCCTACCCATGGCTGTATCCCAGCCCATGGCTGCATCCCTACCCATGGCTATACCCCTGCCCATAGCTGCACCCCTGCCCATGGCTGCACCCCTACCCATGGCTATACCCCTGCCCATGGCTGCACCCCTGCCCATGGCTCTACCCCTGCCCATGGCTGCACCCCTGCCCATGGCTGCATCCCTGCCCATGGCTGCATCCCTACCCATGGCTGCATCCCTGCCCATGGCTGCACCCCTGCCCATGGCTGCACCCCTGCCCATGGCTGCACCCCTGCCCATAGCTGTATCCCTGCCCATGGCTGCATCCCTGCCCATGGCTGTATCCCTACCCATGGCTGCATCCCTATCCATGGCTGCACCCCCGCCCATGGCTATATCCCTGCCTATGGCTGGGCTGCTGCTGCCCCTGCGGCTGGGCTCTGCCTGGGTCTTTGCTATTTCCCTGTGTCATTATAGGCCTTGTCACAGACCTCATGTATGTCCTGTGTGAGGCCACTCAGCCACTCATGGACCACACCCACTGTGGGAGTCCACCAGGATTGTGCTTCCTGAAACCCTTCCCAGCCGGGCTGGCCCACAGGGAGGTCAGTGGAGCCGGGGATTGGGAGAACAGAAACTCAGCACCAAGCCCCAGAGACCCTGGTCACTCAGGCTCCCACCCTGGGCCTCAGTGAGCACCTGCTGCCCTCATGACCCAGCCCAGGACCCCCAGGCAGGCCAGCTTCATCCCAGACCCAGCCGGACCTGCCACCCCACATCCCCAACAATCCATTCATAGACGTGTTGACAACTCATGGGTTTTCTGGAAGCAAGAAGACCCCAGCCAGGCCCCCTGTGCACGGCCTGAGGGCAGGCAGTGGCTGAGCTTCGGCTGAAGCTGGGATGACCACATGGCACCCCAGACACCCCACAAGCACATGTGCTATCTGCACAACCACGGAGGCTCCTGCCAAGGGCCCACGGCCACCAGAGGAGGGCAGCTGACCCGGATCCAGAAGGGACCCATTTAGCACCCAAGTCAAGGGGAGCCCTCGCTTCAAGAGATTAACATGGAGAAACCACAGCAGGAGGAAGAGGGTCTGGAAGGCATGTGGGGCGACCCTCGGCTGGGGACACAGCTGGGAAGCCTGTGGTCCTGTGTGGCTGGGGGCAAGGCCCACCTGGAGGGGGGCAGGGCCCACCTGGAGGGGCATGCAGGACCGACTGGAGCCCAGCAAGAGCCGGCGCTCAGGCCACTGCTCGGTCCAGCTGCAGAGTAGGCACCTTGCAGGCAGTGACCTATCCTGGGAGGAGGGCAGGCCCCTAGGGACAGGGGCAGGGAGGGAGATGGGGAGAGAGACCTGGATGCAGAAGTGAGAGACAGCACCGGAGGAGGACAGGAGGAAGCGGGAAGGGAAAAGCAATGGCTAAAGGGGGAGAGAGGGAGGGGCCGGGCCAGGAGACGGGGGAGCAGGGGAGGAGCTCAGGGACAGAGAAGGCTGGGGTGGGGGCTGCGGTTCTCCTGGCCTGTGCTGCTCCTGCTGGCCAGCCCCGCCAGAGCGGCCCCCAGCACTACCTGCTCTTCGGGGTTCTGGAAGGGGATCACCAGCACCACGTCGCCAGCTTTCAGCTGCAGCTCGTCTGTGTCGGTGGCCGTGTAGTCGTGCTGGGCCTGCACCTGCGGGGGTGGGGACGGTGTGTCAGACCTCTGGCCCCAAGCTCCAGCCTGCACAACGCTAGGCCTTGTGGTGTGCACGGTGTGGCCACGTGGAGACCCTCAGCGCCTGAGAGCAGCAGGACGGGCCTCAGAAGCCATCCTGCCTCCCGGGAGTGGCCTACGAGGGTAGTGTGACTGCAGGAAACCAGGCCTCCAGGGGCTCAGCGCCCCATCCCACACCCAGGGCTCCAAGGGATGCAGTCAGAGGCAGTGGGTCGCTGGCCTGGCTCACCTTGAACATGAACCCCGGGGGCAGGTCCAAGCGCCCAGCCCCGCTGCCACCCTCCACGGTGCCGTTCACAGCTGCTGGGAAGGTCTCCACGACGACAGCAGGAAGAGAGCTCTGGGGGCAGGGAGCACAAGTCAGCTGGGCAGGGAGGTGGTGCAGGGAAGGCCGGGGCCACCGCAGAGGGGATGGGAGGGGAGGTATCTGCGCCCGGTGCCAGACTGGCCTGCACCAGGTCCCTCGACAGGAGCCAGGCCTGGACCAGCACAGGCGAGGAGCAGGGGGAGCCGCAGGCAGGCGGACAGGCAGTGGGGAGGAGGAGACGGGCTTTGGACCCTGCTGTCTTACGGAAGCTGATTCACTTGCCGCTGTCTCCCCGGGCTCCTGGGCTCCGGCCGCAGGTTGGGTCCCACCCGCCACCTCTGAGGCCTCTGCTGGCTGCAACATAAATGCCGGCTTGGGGTCAGACACAGAACAGGTCCTGAGACCAGGACACAGGAACCCAGCCACAGGAGGGCAGTGCCTCGCCCAATCCCACTCCCTGCGTGGGATAGCAGCCCCGTGCGTGGGAAGCAGCTGGAGAGAAGGCGCGAGCGGGCCCAGGAACACTGCCGGTCATGCTGAGCAGCCTACGGCGGGCCTGGCGCCCTCGGAGCCTCGGAGGTCCCGCCCGCTCGCCCTGTCCAGTGGCCCCTCGCAGATGGCCCATGCCTAGGGACAGCTGTACCTGCCTGTCCCAGCGGGAACACAACGCAGGGCGGGCTGGAGCAGCCCATGCCCAGACCCGGGGGCATCTCCCCCAGGGGTCACAGCAAGCGGGGGCTGACTTGGCGACAGACTCCGCCCCTTTCCAGGGCTGCAACCAAGTTACTCCACCTGCCTAGTCTCCCTTCCCTCACTCGTAGGAGGCAGTGTCTGACTGACAAGGTTACGGGGAAGATTCAATGAGGACACTGGCTAGTGCTGGCATAAGCACATTGGTGCTCCAAGTGCTCCTGCCTCCTACTCTAAGAGGCTGGGCTCCGGGGGCGCGGGGCAGGGCTAATGTGCCCCAGCCAGGCCCACTCCCCGCCCACGGAAGCCCTGGTGACAAGCCCATCCCTGTCCTCACCCTCAGGCCCACGGTGGCCTGGTCCATCCTGCACCCCCTCCTCCAGGCTCTTCCTCCATGCTGCCCCCCAGAGGCGGGGGACGAACCAGACACTTACTTGGGCAGTCCCCGGCTCGGCCGTCTGGCTGGGCCAGGCCACAGCAAAGGTGCCCTCAGCAGCACTGGGCTCCCCGGAAGGCAAGCTGCCAGCTGGACCCTCTGTGGGCTAGTGACAGGCCACCAGGAGAGAGTGGGGGACAGTGGAGAGGCCGGGGTGGAAAAGGTGATGGGAGGGACGTGGGACAAGAGAAGACGGTCACCAGTGGCCCGTGCTGGCAGAGGGCGGGGTGTGGTGCCTGCAGTGGGGGGTGGCCTGGCCGGGCCCACCTCCCAGCCCCTCACCCCTGCGTCCGCCAGGGAACAGGCCGCTGTGACTGTGCTGCAGAAGCCAGCACCCACTGAGAACTACTGTCCAGTGGCCCCACCAGCTCCACAGTAAAGACTGTCCGAGGGCTTCCCGAACTCCGGGGGCCCAGGGCCTGCGCCTGCGCCTCCCAGCGCCCCTGCTTGTCAGCGGGTCTCAGGGCCCGTGCCCAGGAAGCCTGGGAGACCTCTGCTCTGCCATCACCAGCTGTCGGGCGAGTCCTGAGCCTCCTGGGCCTCCATGTCCTGAGCTGTCAGGCGTGGGTGACACCAGCCCGCAGGCCCTGCTCTCAGAAGGCGCCCCTACCCTGCCTCCCTCAAACCATCCCTCCACCGCCTCCAGCTCCCTCCAAGCAGCTCCGCCCTCGGGCCCTCTTGGCTCGCAGGCCTCACCCCACCAAGGGGACACAACCATCCTGGGTGACCAGCCGGCCACTGTCTAGAGGAGACCAGAGGGCCACTCAGAGGACCCTTGTTCAAGCGACACTGAGGAGCCCCTTTCCCACGGGCCTGACACGGAGGGAGAAGCAGCAGGATAGCTGCAGACAGGGCAGCCCCGCCAGCTCCCTGCGCAGCAAGCATGGCGTGTGCATGTGTGCGTGTGCATGTGTGCGTGGGCAGATGTGCGTGTGCATGTGCGTGTGCAGGCACCTGTGGCGGGCAGGTGGAGGAGACAGCATGTGAACCGGGGTATGTGCGGGAGCGCGGCTCCCTGAGGGGCGGGGCGCAAACACTGAGCTTACCTCCCAGAGGTCCCACGGAATTGGCTGAGCGCAGCAGTGAGGGGAGAAGGACAAGTTAGCACAGACGTTAAGATGGGGGCGGCAAGCAGTTCCCGGGGACACCCCCACCCGCCCAGGCTCTCCAGCACAGCAGGCACAGGCTGGCCCAGAGCGGCTGGGCCCTGCGGTCCACCATGGACGCGCCCGGACACCTCTCAGGAGGCTGGGAGCCCGGCCAGGGAGTGCCCGGACAAGGGGCGGCTGCCACGAGGGCAGAATGCCGAGAAGAGCCGGCAGTTGCTGGGCAGGGCTTAGCCGGCCCTCCCGAGCGGCCCTGGCTGGCCCGTGTCTGCTCTCTGCCCCACACCCGGCGGTGCTGCGGGCCGGGGCCAGGATGCCGGGGGAGGGCCGTGACCTGGGCCTACATGGGCCCACGCGGCAGGCGTGGGAAGCCGGCGGATCGTGGGCAGTGGTGGGCACAACCAACCTGACCAGAGGGCGTGGGTGCCTTCACGGGGCTCGCCACGGGCGGGAGGGGGTCAAAGTCCAGGTCCAGCAGACTGGCCTGCTCCGAAAAAGGCCCCGGGGCTTCAAACTTGGCAGCGGCAGCAGAGGAGGAAGCGGTTAGTGTCAGGCGGGGAGCCGCAGGCGCACACGGCAGGCTCACGCACGCACACAGGGACACGCACACACGTCCAGGCACCGGCCCGGCCACCCCACCCACACGCAGGGTGCACTGCCCGCAGCCACATGCCCTGGCACAGGCCCCGCCCAGAGGACAGTCCCTGGCGCACGCCTCGGACTTCCAGCAACAGGCTGCTCGGGCGGCCCCACAGGGCCAACACAAAACCCGCACTCTCCCGCCTCTGCCTGCGGGCGGGCGTCGCCCTGTGCCTGCCCCTCCTCTCTGCTCCCTACCCCATGAGCTCCACTGACCTCGCCCTGCCCCCAAGAGCAGTGTCAGGCCACAGCCACTGCCAGACACAAGCACACTCAGCCCCCAAACCAGGAAGGGCCCAAGGGCAGAGGCTTCACGGGCCTTTCCCCAGCCCAGACAGCCCAGGGTCCAGGACAGGGACCACCAGCCCACATAGCCCAGGGGCCAACCTTCAAACTGGGGTCCCCAACACTGGGGGCTTCAGAACCCCTGGGGCACCTGCATTAAAACTGCAAACCGTCCCCCGTCCAGCAGCCACCCCCAGAAATTGCTGCTTGTTGAGCCAGGGTGCCGCAGGAATGTGCACGTACAGGCACAGCCCAGGAGACGGGGCACGGCACCGGCAACTCTGTGACAAGCCTGCGGTGACCAGCTGTCCTGGGAGGGCAGGGGCCTTCTCAGACACCCCCACAAGGAAGGGCCCTGCGGGTGGGAGCAGGGACTCCCCGCGGCTCGGGAGGCCGGCCAGGGCCGCTCCAGCACCCGGGGACAAGCTGCCTTCTGGGAAGGAGGAGCCCATCCTGTATGTGGGGCTTCCCTGGGGGGCCAGAGAGGACTTTGCCCAGGTCCAAAGGAAGAGGGATGTGGCTCAGGACACCCCCTCCCCGGCCCTCACGCAGCGCTGGAAGGACCCTCGCCCCCACAAGCCCAGGCCAGCAGGCGGCCTGGCTCCACTCACGCTTGAGGGGTGCCAGCACTGACAGGGGGTGCCCCCAGGCCCGCGTCCACCCCATGGCGCCATCATGAAAGAGCCAGGCTGTGTGCAGGCCCTTCCCAGAGGGGCCTCTGCAGCCGAGCAGTGGGCCCATCAGGAGAAACCCAAGACCCTCAGCCCCAACAATGCAGAGCTGTCCCACAGCTCAGCAGACAAGGCATCGGGCACTACATGCAGGCCCAGCCACAGACGGAGAGCCTTGCCCAAGTGACTTACTTCCTGGCACCAGGGGGTCTGGGCCCCAAGCCCTGCCCCAGGCCCACCCAGCAACTGACTCTGCGTCTGTCCAGCGCTGCCCGAGAGCTTGGGCAGGGCAGTCGCTGCTCGGCCTGCCACACGCGTCTCTGAGGGACGGGCGGAAGCCGGTGCACGGCCCAGGTGCTCTCCCACCAGCAGGCGGCCAGCGCCTCTCAGTGGACCCCACCAAGCCCCACGACCCCTCCCCTTCTGAGAAGTCAGCCACGCCCAGGCGGCAATGCCCCTCGTGCTCCACGGGGAGGGTCACCCCCAGAGAGCGGCCCACCTCCTCCCTGCCCTGCCCCAGCAGCCAGCCACCCTGCCCTGCAAGACCGAGACCACCCCTCCGTGCAGGGCCACAGGCTACTCACCACGCCACAGCAGAAAAGCCCTGGTGGCAATGCCATCATGGGCAGGACGAGCCACCCCTGCCCGCAACACCACCCCGGTGCACAGCTCTCCAGCCCAGACCAGGCCCACAGGCCCAATTCCCTGGAGATGGCGCAAGGGGGCAGCAAGGGGGCCTGAGGTGACCTGAGGGACAGGCGCACTCGGAGCCCAGAGTGTGGGCAGTCTCTGGGCCACCTCCCAGCTGGGCCCACCCTGCCTTGTCTTACCAATGGCCCACTGGACAGGCCACAGGTGGGCCCACAAGCCCCCCACCTCTTAAATGGGAGCACGACCCCTCCCAGAGGGTGGTAAAAAACAAACAGGGAGAAGTAGAGCCGTGCCGGCACTGTGCCCCCGGGATGTGCTGGCGCTCACGCCACCCTGCCATCCGTGCTCAGCTGCACACTCGTGGCAGCTGCCAGGCCTCCTCAGCCAGCCCCGGGCAGAGGCACACTCGAGCCCTGCAGGTCCTCAGCCCCGTCTCCACACTGCTCTTCCTACACAGGGGCTCACCTGTCTGCCAGGCCCTGACCAGGGTCCATCCACCTACCTACTAGCAGCCTTGTTCTAAAATTCCTTACTTCCAACCCCACATCCCTGCATGGGAGCTTGAGGCACCTCACCTAGGCCCCTCCAAGCAGAGAACACGGGTCTCAGCTCTGACGGCCACTCCTCAACTCACTCTCCCTCCAGCCTGTCCATGATCCAGGCCTCTGAGCTGCGCCAAGCACCTGCTGGGGCACAGTCTGGACCAGCTAACCTCCCCAGAGGCAAGGACCCTCGTGGGAAGGGCCCAGCCACAGAGGGAGCCGGCCTGGAGCAGCAGGCAGGCTCTGGTGCAGGGAAACCCAGCCACCCCTGAGCTGACCTGACAGTGCGTCAGCCACTCCAGCCGTGACTGCATGCGATTCTACCACAAGGGACACCTCCCCACCCGGCCCTCCCTTTGAGCATCTGTGACTGGGTGTCACACGCCTCTATCCTGCAGCCTGGCCACTGACCCCAATCCTGAGTGGCTGGCAGCAGCTCTGGAGCTGAGGTCCAGGTGTCTTGGCCATTCCAGAGCATTCCCACTGCGTTCCTGCCACTTCCTCCACTGCCACACCCTGCACGCCCTCCCCACTCCAGGAAACCCCCCCCACCCCAGGTCCTCCACGCTCCCCACGCCCCTCTGCCAGAGCACCCATCGCCCCTGCACGGAGGGTGCCGCACGGTTCCCCTGTGCCCTGCGTCTGGCCACAGCACATGCTAGAGGAGGGCGATGAGATGATGGAGATGATGGAGGGAGGCAGGAGAGAGGGAGGCTCAGACCAATCTCGCTGGCCAGATTCCTGGCTCTAAAGACAGAAGCCCAGGGCATGGGATGGAGGGCGGAGACCATGCACGCCCAGAGAGGGCAAGAAGTGGGCAGAGCTGGGCCGCGGTGGCCGCGGCTGACCTGGGAGGGGGTGGTCACGCTGATCTCAGGGACAAACGTGTCCTCAAACAGGCTGAGGATCTGCTCCTGCTTGACCTCCTTGGACGGGGTGTGTTTGGGAGGCGGAGGGACTGGCGGGCCTTTCCGCAGCTGTGGTCGGTGGCGGGTGAGGGGCGCACGGAGCACGGGCGGGGAAGACAGACAGAGACAAAGCCACAGTCAGTCACACCCCAGGCCACAGCCCCACCAGGCCACTGAGGAGGGAGCAGATGAAGAGTCACTTCCCCGGAGACACAGACACCGGGACCAAGGCCACCTGGAGGAGACCCAGCCAGGGTCCAGAAGCCAGACCCTGTGCAGAGAGAGCCGGGAGGGGGGCAGGGGGAAGAAGGGAGGGAGGAGAGCCCAGCTGCCCGGCCACTGTGGGAGGGTGTGGCTCCCACCCGCTGTGGGGAAGAAGTCCCCCAGACAGCCGGGCCACCCTTCCTGCAGGCCCTCGCTCTAGCCCCAGCCCAACTCTGCCTCAGTGGTCCCTGTGGACGCGGCACGGAGCCAGCGGCACAGGCCACACCCCTGCCCGCCAAGTGTGGCTCCCTCCCATGTGAGACCCAGCCGGTACTGACGGGGGCGTTCTGTGAGCGTTCAGGGAATGAAAACGTGTCTGGCCCAGAGGCAGCGCTGTTCAGAGTGGGCCCCGTCCCTGCCCCCACGCGGCTATCCTAGCGTATCCCAGCAGCTGTGGGACACGGCCGGAGGAGCGCTGGGAGGACGCCATCTGCAGGCTCCACGCAGGTATGTTCCAGGGCCTGCGCAGAAACCTAGAGGACCTGGGGGTCAGGCCTGTACCCCCAGCCACCCCACGCTCCCCTCTGAGCCCATCCTCTTTCTGTCCCTTTCCAGGTCCTGCACGGCCACCAGGTTGGGCTCCTCCCTCAGCCCCTGCAAGACAGGGCCAGGCAGAGGGAAGGCGGCCACCTCCAGAGATGCCAGTGCCCTGGGAGCTGAGGGCCCCCGAGCCTCTGCCCAGGCAGGAAAGGAAGATGGACAGAGACAAAGGCCGGGGAAAGAGGGAAGGGGAAGGTGCTGCAGTGGGGGCCGCTTGGAGAGGGGACATAGTCACAGATGCCACCCTCCCACCACCCCACCCTCCAAAGCAGACCAGGACCACAGAGCTAGCCTAGAGGGGGTGGCCAAAAAGACCAAGGTCCAGGCCCACACCCCACTAGGCAAAGCTTCCGGCTCCAAACCTACCAGGCCCAGGCCCAGGAGGGGACAAAGGAGTAGGAGGGAGAGGGGGTGACAGCTGGGCAGGCAGAGGAGGAAGGCGGGGACAGGCCCGGAGACATCACACCTACCTGAGATGGGGACCTGGGGAGGGTATCCCCAGCAGCAGCCCCGCCAGCAGGCTCTGGCTCGTGGTTGACTCTGATCTCGGGGGTGGCGGCAGGGGAGCCATCGGGCGGAGGCGAGGGGCTCTTGTTTCCTTTTGCAGGGGCGTCATCACTGTGGAGGCAGGACAAGGGGAGTTGGTGTAGGGAGACCACGGTGACAAGGGGTGAGTGTGCACACGTGTGGATGCCCGGGCCCCACGTGTGAAACTGTGCATGTGTGTGCCCCGTGGCCCCGAGTGTGAAACTGCAGGCTTGTGTGTGTGAAAGAGAATGGGTAGGAATCTCAGGACCTGGGTTGTGGGCCTTCAGAGTGGGGGGCCTGCACTGGGAACAGTGACAGCACAAGGCGTGCCTCTGGGCTGGAGGTCTGTGGTGCCCAAGGGTGCAGGGCAGGTCCCTGGGAACCACCTGCCAGAGGCCAGGCCAGCTGCTGCACAGGCTCCCTGGGCCTCTACCCTGGCTCGCGCTGAAGGGCTGGAGACCCACAGCACGAGAAGCCAGACTTCCCGCTGTGGCGAGTCCTCCAGGCAGTGAGTCCCGCCCTCGGCTGGGCTGCGGTCCCCTGGCCTGCCCCCAGGCCTCCCCACAGCCCCGTCACACGCCGCATGGCCACACTCAGCCAGACACCTCCTGTCCACACACCCGCTAAAGCGCCCATGCCACTGGAGGGCACAGGCGGGGCCTGGGTGACAGAGTGGCACCTTCGAGGCAGAGGAGCGGGCAGCAAGGGATGGAGGGCAAGGCCCCCAAGCACAGCGCCCAGTCCCGGCCCCGAGGGGCACAGTGTGGCGCGGGGCCGGTGCGGAGGCGTGGGCAGGGACCCTCCGCCAGTGCTCACAGAGGCCTCTGGGACGGCGCTGCCCCCAACAGCCACTAGCTGCGGGGCGGGACGTAAACTTAAATTAGTTTCAAGTTCAGCTGCTCAGTCACACTGGCCGCATGTCGAGTGCTCGGCAGCCACAGGGGTGACAGGCTGCTGTGCTGGACACCAGGGTCCAGGAGGACCCGGGGCGACGCTGGGACGGGTGAGAGTCACTGCTGGTGCCGCCTTCCTGTTTTGAGTTTGCGTTTTATGGGAATGTATCTGCCTCCTTAAAGAATGCATGTGAGTCACACGCACGCACACACACATGGTCTTAGAACTCAAACCCCGCCATGCTGCAGCACCCGCTCCGAGCACCCCTCCCCCGCCGGCCCCTTCCTGGCTGTGCTCTCCACAGCAGGCCCTGTCCGCGGCCGACCAGCGCTGGCCACGCGGTGGCGCCCAGGGGACGTGCCGCAGGAAGCCAGGCCGCTTGGCGAAGGCTGCCCTGCGCCTCCACCTCCTCCCCTCCCCCACACACACGGCACAGCACAGGCAGCCCTGCCCGAGCGCCACACGCAAGGCAGGTTACGGGTTAGTGGCGCCCCGGGCACAGGGCCAGCCGGGCACATGCACAGGGCCAGCCGGGCACTGGCCTCTGCGCCCGCACGCAGCACGCACGGCAGTACCTGTTCTTCTTTCTCCGCAGCCGGGAGAACAGTTTAGTTTTCTTTCTGTGGGGACGGATAGGACGTGGAGGCCTTCATTTTGGGGCAAGGCCAGATGAGGGGTGGCCTGTCCCCTTTCCTCTTTGCCAGTCCCTCTGCTCAGAGGGCAAAGGGTCAAAAGCCTCCCCCAAGCGCCGTGAAGAGGGCCTGGGCCTGCCCTGGCTGGCCTCAGCACGCAGCTGCGGGTGGCGCTGACAGCCTGGCGAGCGGCCGGAGGCCGGGCGGACAGGCAGGTCCTCCCTGTCTGGGCCCCAGTGCCCAAGCACTCCGGGTACACCCAGAGTGCCAGCAAGGGGTCCACTGGCCAGCGCGGGCCGCTTTGGCGGGAAGGAGGCTCACCAGCCTCCACTCCTGCCCGGGACAGTCTGCTCACAGCGAGCCCACTGCCCCACCCCCCATCCTGGACGCTCCCTGGCCTGGCAGCTGTCCCTGCCTTTGGCCTTCATTCACGCCCTGCCCCAGCTCCCCACCCTGGCCTCAGGGCACCTATTCTATGTTGGGGAGGGAAGGGAGCAGCGACTTCCGCGATACCTTCTCAGGCCTGCACAGACCTCCATTGCCCCCAGAAGCAGTTCCACAGAGGCCGGCCAGCGCCGCCGTGCTCTGCTCCGACACGCCTGTGTGCGCAGTCTCAACACACGCACACGCGTGCAAGGAGGGACGCCCAGTCCTGCTGCTGTCCCTGAGCCACAGCCAGCGGAAGAGGCATGTCCCCTCCCTGGGGTCCCGCTCAGGAAGCAGCGATCTCCTTGGCAGTCCGGCCTCCCCAGGGGCCGCAGCTGAGCACAGGCACCAGCGCAGCCAGCGCTGTCCAGGGACTCGGGCTTTCCCAAGAGCCACCTCCCTGCTCTGGAGAGGGCACTCGCCCTCAGGAAGGCTGTGCGCCCGGGAATCCTTCTGTCCCCTCCCGCACCCCAAAACCAAGCCGGCACCTGCCAGCTGCTCCACAGATGAGGGGTCGGCGCCAGGCTCCGGCCTGCAGACTCCTCCAGGGTGCTCCCTCCTCAGCGGACTCGGCCAGAGGGCGAGGTGTCCCCGGACAGAGACCTGCCCTCACCCGACTCCCTGAGCACAGCGAGGCCGAGCCAGGAAGGTCCCCAGACGCCCCGGGCCAAGCCCACGGCGGCCAAGGAGGACACCGGCAGTGGAGCCGCCGCGCAGAGGCGGTGTGCGCCAGGGCCCCAACGCCGCGGCTCAGCGGGCGGGGCTCACACACCTGGGCTGCGCCTTGACCTCGAAGGTGCCGCTCCCCTGCTGCTTCTCCAGGCTGACCAGCACGCCGTTGAGGCTCTGGTTGAGCTGCAGGAGGGACACAAGGAAGTGGGGGCTCCAGCGCCTCCAAACAGACCTGCATCCCCCAAAACACCCCGTCCCACACCTCCCCCCAGTCCCTGCTGCTGCCCAGAACGAACTCCTCCTTCCCCACCAGTGAGAGCTGGAAGCAGCACACCAAACCCAGACCAAAGGCAAAAGTGGACTGCGTCACAAATACCTGTCGTTTCCGGTGGCCATCTTTTCTCCTTCTATTTGTAGGGCTATCCTAAACCACAGACAGCTTGTACTGTTTTACATATTTTTCTTAAAAACTGTTTCTATAGATTGCTGATCTAATTGTTAAGGTCATTTTGCCAAGATGCTTTCAGATCACACTACAAATTCCACAAATTTCACTGAAAGAACAGGCGAGAGAGGAGGTTTATGCCTGGCACATGGTGATTCTCATTACTGAAAATGTTTCCTTCTTCGATTTGGCCAGTAGGAAGCTCAGAGCTGAATTTTCCTCCCACTTATAAACAACTGTGCCCTGTGGCATCTACTTCCATAGACTAACTTTACATAAATATTTCCTTCCCTAAAATATTTATTTTTTAAACTTTTTTATAAGTTGTCTCAAATCTCTGAAGGGAAGAAGAGAAAGTAGGAAGGAAAGAGAAGGCCAACTAGGCAGGAATCTATCCTCAGGGATGTGAGTATAAAGAGGCCCCAAGATGGTTTTCCTCCTCCAGCCCTGGCCTGGAATATACCATCATCGCTTCCTTCCTCTGGGCCCAAGAGAAAAGGTCAGACCCACCCACTGAGCAGAGTGAGTGAGCTGCTGACGCTGGGTCTCTCCAGCAGCATTTGGGGGCACTTCCAACACTGGGTTTCTCAAACTGCAAAGTTAAACAGCTTTGCATTTTCACTGCCAGGTAAGATGAAAACAACACAACACAGGAAAGCAAGCTGACCAGACCAGACTTCTTATACCAGATTCTGGCAGATGAAGCTGGCCTATTTCAATGTCTTAAGAAACATAGCACAAAAAATTAAAAATTGAGAAAATTTTAGTAATTTTATTTATTAGTTTCCTACAAATTGGAAAACTGCTACCATTTTCTAACACTGAGCTCCCTGGGCCAAGGTTGCCTGAGAACTCATTTACTGTCTGAGAGGGGCTGGTCTGCATTTCCCAACCATCTGTCCGGGCAAGAACAGGACTGGGCATGGGAGAGGGCCAGGGCTGGACCCAGGGACCCACTCGCAGCCTCCCTAGCAGCTCCCACTGGGCCTGGGCACCAGTGTGGGCCCGCCGGCAGGTGTTAGCCAGCTCCCCACCAGCGCAGCTTCTGTGCCTCTGACTCTCACCCTTGGCCAGGGTGGCATGTGGCCCCCAGAGGGCGCACCAGGGCCTACCTTACTCATCTCCTTGTGGAAGTTTTCCTCCAGACCAGCAATGCTCTGAAATGTGTTGACATAGAAACCTACACGGCTGCAGGAGGGAGGGAAGGAGGGCCAGATGAGCAGGCAGGGCAGGCCCAGGGAAACACACCCACCCCCATCATAGACACAAGCCCTGAGAGGCACGGGCACCTACGGCCCACACCAGACACACAGGCTGGGGCCTCGGGCAGGCACTCTGGCACCTCCCGGCCCTCACCTGTTCCACAGGGAAGGCAGCTCCTCCTGCAGATCCACGTTCATCTCCTCGAACACCTTCTGGGCTTTGATGAGCTCCTCCTCGGCCTGGGGGCAGGATGAGTCAATCCCCTCTGCTGGGGGCTGTCCCTGCCAGCCCAGCCAGGCCCTCCTGCCCCCTCCGGGACCAGGGCTCGGGCAAGACAGGGGCTGGGCTGGACCTGCAGCCCCTCGCACTGCAGCCCCAGGGCACAGGGCAGACGCACAGTCCTGCACCAGGGGACCTGCGCAATCGCACGTGGCCCCCAGGCTGAGGCCCGACGCTGCGGCCTCCCTCCTACCCGCCCGCCCCTTCCGAGGGCCAGCTGCTGCTCAGCAGCCACCAGCCTTCACGCCGCCCTGGGCAGCCCCTCCCGTCAGCCCTCCCTGCGGCCTGCGGCCCCCAGCAGAGGTCGCAGGAGCGCTCGGGCACCCCAGGAATGGTGGGGGGTGGCGAGGGAGGGAGGTGGCTGCCGGACGCTCCTGCCCACGCTTCCCCAGCCTGTCGTGCTGGGAGCTGCCACCGTGCGGTGGCCCCAAGGCCCCGTCCCACAGCCAGAGTGACCGTGCCGGCCCAGGCGCAGACGCTGGAAGGGCTCCACTGCTCACTCCTGGAGGGCAGGGCGCTGCCGGGACTGACTCAGGGGGCCTGGACTCAGGGTCTGAGTCACAGCCCAGGAATGCGGCGGGGGGCACTTCCCGCCAGTAGCCTCACGTTCTCGGGCTGCGCTGGGGCCTCTGGCAAAGGCAGCCAGCGGCCAGCCACAAAGCACACGATTTCCGGGCCCAGCCTACTGTCCCACCCGGCAGCAGGCGACGCGGGCCCCAGTCAGCGCCCCCTGGGCCAGAGGAGGGGCCGCCGGCTCTGCCCACAGTTACCTCAGGGACTAGCTAGAGAGGGCGTGGGCTCCTTGCCCGACCTTTCAGAATCTAATATAAATTTAAAGGTGGAATAAGATAAAAAGGAATGTCTCGATTATCTAAGCATGCGTGCCTCTCTGAGACGGAGCCAGGCTCAGGGGTCTGGCACAGCCGCACCAGGGCCAGGCTCAGGGCCATCCTGCCCTTCGTCCCCTGCCTGGCAGCGGCTGCCGAGGGTGGACTATGGAACGCACGAGGCAGTGACTCCCACCGCACGGCGCAAGCCCGGCACTATGGACCGCGCACGCCTCCCGTCCTCAACAGCCAGGAGTCCTCCTCAAGTGCCACATTCCCCAGTTCCTGTACCCTCGAAGGCCACCTCTCCATGGGGACGGAGCCACCCCAGCCCCTGAGCCCAGCTCCCCACATGAGCGATCGAGGAAGCAGTGTTGGTGGCAGCAGCCTGTCCAGGCAGCCCATCTGCGCCGAGCCGTGCTCCCATGGCAAGGCCACTGCGCAGCACGGGGTGGCTCCACTCCAGACTGCCTGGAAGTCGGGGCCTGTGCCTTTTGTCCCCTTTGGGTCACATCCCTCACACTCTGGCTCTCTAAGAAGCACTTGGGAGTGGCAGGGAGGGAGGGAAGAACTGCCCGCTGTGGGGTGCAGCCCCACGGCCCCACTGCAGCCTGCAGACAGGACGGGCAGGGCCACGCGGGCCCAGGGCCCTGCGGGCGGGTTTCTGGGGCTGTGGCAAGTGTGGAGAGCAGCTCGGAGCCAGATCAGGGGCCATGTGGTGCTGGTCGACCGCCCCAAGCGCAGCCTCAGGAGAATTCACTGTCTCCCCAAGTCAAGTGCACCCAGGGGCCCAAGTGGCCCAGCTCACAGCCAGCCAGCCACCACGGGTAACTCCAAAGGCTCTCCAGCTTCCAGCGGGCATGAGGCGGGGTGGGGACAACAAGGATGTGCTCAAGTAAAAATGGGATACAAATGCAAAGGCCAATTTGGCTGAGAGGTGACACATCTGCAGTCCAGCAGCCACAGATGCAATCACGTGCCTCACCGTCCTGCTGCTCCCCCAGGTGAGCGCTGGGCAGTGGGCAGGCCCCATCCCAGGCCCCATGGCCTACCAGGGGCTTCTGCCACACAAAGTCTCCCAGCTGCTTTAAGGGAAGTTATGCAGACTCTCTGACTCTGGGTCAGTAACTCCAGTCCCCCTTCCAGCCCGTCCTGAACTGACAGGCAAGGGCCCACCCACCCAGCCCCTCGCTCCTCCTCCAGGCCTATGGAAGCCCTAGTCATCTCCCCTAGTCCCTGGAAAGCCAGTGTCACCTCAACCCCAGGTGAGGCTGCCAACACTCAGCACCTCCAACAACAGCCCATGGCCTCAGCCTAAAAGAAATCAGGCAGCAAGCGAGGTGGGAAATCAGGCAGCAAGCCGCACCGAGCCCAGAGCCGTCCACACTGCAGGGCTCAACACGTGTGGGTTGAAGAGGATGAAATCAAGAGGTGGCCCAGAGAAAATGGGGCAGCTGCCCAGAGAGAAGCCCAACCTCCCAGTCCCCTATCCCCATCCCCACCACACCCCTACTGTGGGGACATGAAGGAGTTTGAGAGTTTCATACAGGCTGTGTCTACAATGACCTGAAACGTGCCTCAGTTTCACGGGAGAGAAAACCATGTGGCCCACCTCTCACAGAGCAGTGCATCCAGGGTCCCTGGCCACACCAGCCCATTCCAAGGACCAGGGGTTAAAAAGAGTAAAGCATCTACTGCCACAGTGCAGAGACGGCCCAGCAGTTTTGTACAAGGAGCCTCCTCCAAGAAGTCCCCCAGGACCACTATGGTATTGCGCACTTGCCCTCCACGAAACCCCCAAACGGCCAACCCCAGGCCTCAGCAGCTCAGCCAGACTGGAGAGCCCTCCTGGCGTCCCCTCTGGAGTCACCACAGGGGCCCACAGGTCCCGGGAGCCCAGCCAGGGAGCAGGATAATAATAACCCAGGGGCTGAGTCAGGAGAGCCCAGGCTCTGCCTCTGCCCGGTCAGCTGTAGGACCCCGGGAGGAGACGTGCCTCTCTGAGCAGGTCTGTCTGCTCAGTAAATTCAAGATACCCTTGGAATGCGTCCCAGGCTGAAGGACAGCACATGCCAGGGGCCAGGAGCCCTCATGGCCACCTCCCCCACAGGAGACTTCCCAGAGAACACACAGCTGAAAGTGTCCCTGGGTTCCTGGATGAGTCTTGGTGAACAGCCGCAGACCCAGGCACTGAGGGGTGGACCTGGGCGCCCCAGCAGCTCTCCCAGAGCTCCTCCGCTGCTCTCTGCCCAGACATTCGACCTCAGGCCCCCCTGAAGCAGGACTCTCCCAGCAGAGGCCTTTGACAAGCCTCTGCCCGCTGCAGCTCTGCCACTGCCACTCGGCCGTGCTCAGACGCCACCCTGCATCCCTGGCCCAGGGCGAGAGGAGAGGAGGACAGACTGGAAGGCACCAGCGCGTGCAAGGTTAGAAGCCAGTGTCACCTGATTTCGGAGCAGGTTAGTTTGAGCTACGAGATGAGCCTGCAGTTTGCCTTGGCACCACTGGGGGGCGGCTTTCTCAAGCAGCGAGACAGGCTGGGGGGGGGCCGAGGGTGGAGAGACGGGAGGGGTGGGAGAGAGAAACAGAGACACAGATATTAAACACCACGTCCACCCACCCCACACAGTGACAGCCGAGCCAGCCACCCCGGGGGGCCGCCCCGCAGCAGGTGGAGGCCCCTGAGGCTGAGAGAAGCGGAGCCCAAGGGGGGACTCGGCCGCAGAGGAGGTGCAGGGTGAGAGCGGTCAGCGGCCAGAGGGCTCAGCCAGCAGTCGCCCAGGGCCGGGGGGCCGCCCTCAGCCCCTCACCAGTGGCAAGTGTGGCCAGCCCTGCGCCACCGGCCTGCTCCAGCCCAGGCAGGGCCACACCGGATCCTGTGACAGAATTCCACTTGGAGCGCGCCAGGCAGGGCGGCGCCAGCCCAGCGAAACCCAAGCCAGGCCCACTCTCACGCTGGAAAGTGGCCTCGGATGGGGCCAAGGGCCGGGAAGGCCGGGGGTGGGGAGGGACCAGAAGTGAACGTGAGCCCCCACCCAGGCACCCGCAGGGCCTTTCACCCGTGGCCTGGGCCGGGCCGCCCCCACCCCTGCTCAGTGACCTTGCACCAGGCAGAGGAAGGCTCCGCTGGGGACACCAGCCTCCTCCTCAGGCCCCTGCAGGCTCTTCCCGCCACCCGTCAGCCCTTACCTTGGCAATTTTGGCTTCATCCTTCTTTTTAGCGGTTTGAAGGGACTCGAAGTGGTGCCGGGCACTGTCATAGTCCACCAGCTTGCGCCCCCGCTTGGCGATGCGTGACTGAAGGACAGACGGAGGAGGGACTGAGCCAGGCAGGCCAGAGAAGCCGGCCGTGGCCAGCCTGCACGGGCCTGGAGGGCCCAGGCAGTATCCACGAGCCCTTGCTGCTCGAACCCTTCTGGTGGCAAAGAGCTCACCCTTCCATGCAGTCCAGCCCCACTATCAAACCAGTTCCTTGCAACATGAACCCACTGTGAGTTCCCACCAGCCAGACTGCATCACCCAAGTCTCTTCCTTGATCTGGCCCTGAGCTCCTTAAAGACGCCTCTTGGGCCCTGGCTTCTCTCCAGAGCCACTACCATCAGCCTTGGGGAATATGAGCAGTCCACACTGGGTGGCCCCTGGAGCCAGCATGAGCGTGACACTGCCACCCACTCAGCCCAGCTCCAGCAAGACGGCGGTGGCCCTCCCAGGCTCCAGACACCAGTGCTTCCATGGACACACCACCCGGGGGCCGTTCAGCTCAGTAGAGACCACGGCACGATGACAACTCCTACCAAGTACCCAGGCCCAGCAGAGACAGCAGGCTTCGTGAACACACACAACCACACAAATACACCCAGACACAGACACAGGTAACAGATGACACCCACGACTATGCACACGCACCCTTCCAGGCACACACAGCATAAATTCAGGGGACCTGCAGACACACACATGCCCGGACCCTACACACCTGCACACTAATCTGATCACTCCCCAGCGACATGGCCACACATGCCACACACACACCCGCAGCCTGAGACCCAAAGGGACAGGAAGGCCCAGGCCTGAGATGGCAGGGGCAGTGGGCAGCTATAGGGGAGCAGCCCTGGAGGGAGGAGATGACAAGCAGGGGCCGCCAGCCTCCAGGACAGTCACCTCCGTGCCTGAGCCAGCCTGTGCCGCGAGCCGGGCCCTCTCCAGCTCCCTCCACAGGCGACTGGGCGGAGCGTGGGGACCCATAGAGCACTCTCACCTTGATGTCAGGGAACTGGCCCAGGTACGTGTCCATGGTCAGCAGCGCCTGGTCCACCAGCTTCTGGTGGTAATCCATCCACAGCAGGTCATTGTTCTGAAACAGGCAAGGGCACGGAGTGTGCCTCCAGGGAGTGGGGCCACACCCAGCCCCCAGCGCTCACCGCCCAGGACCTGTGGGTCAGCCCAGCCCCATCACTTTGCAGCTCAGTGGCTTCTCAGAGCCTCAGTTTCCTGTAAAATGAGAGCAACAATTCCTGCCCTAAAGCTTCTCTCGGGAAGACTGTGGGGGTCAGGTGTGCTGAGACTGTGACCAGCCAGAGAGGCTTCATGAGTCATGAACCAGAACACACAGGTGAGGGACGGCCACAATCCGTGATCTGACTCGCCTTGGTGTCAGGGCATGTGAGAAGACCCTCAAAGAGGGAAGGCAATTTGCCCAGGAGCACACAGCATGTAAGTGCCAGAGGGCTTGTCCCACAGGGCCACAGGGAGGGGCTAGGGCCACCTGCCCCATGCTCACCTCTGCGATCTTGTTTGCCTCATCCCTGCCAGGCCAGTCGGGCTCGTACACCTCCTGCAGACACTCATTCAGCTTCTTGGAGGCCTCGTGCATGGCTGTGGGCACAGAGGAGGCACGTGGGCCTCCCATTGACAGCCCCGCCCAGCCACCACACACCCACCTCTCTGCACCCACCTGTCCCCCGAGGGCCAGCTCTGCCCTGCCTGCCCCTTACCTTTGACGGAGGCCAGGTAAGTCCGGAGATCCTTCTGCAGCCGGGTACCCTCAGTCTGCAAAGAGAAAGACAAGGGCCAGGTCAGGGCCTGGGGCACACTGGTCCCTGACCCTCTCCTCCCTGCCACTCCCACATGGACAGCCAGGCTACTCCTCTGACAGCAGCCACCAGTCAGCCACCCTCTCCTCAGGCCAGTGCCAGGTGCACCTCAGAAGACAGCAGCTACGGCCCCTCGGCCACAAACTCAAGCTGAGCAGCAGGGAGCTCCTGGCACCATCCCCACCTCAGAGACCCTATTCCCACAGGGACATTCACCTGCCATTCATCAGCACCTGTCCTCTTCCAGACAGCACCCTCAGCCCTGGAAGGACAGCAGGAAGACAGGGTGCCCTGCCCCAGAGGGGACGCTGAGGGTATGGCTGAATGAGGCACAGCACACGTGTACAGCAGGACTGGCACCTCGACCTGCCCTCAGACCACCAGGCACAGGGCACAGGGCCACAGGGCACGGGCCAGGTGGGGCTGGTGGCCACCAGGCACCTTGTTCCACAAGATCAGGTGGTGCCCAAGAATGGGGCGCTCCCACTGCATCGTACCAGGGAAGAAGGACTGGCCTTTACAGGGAGAGTGGCCTCCAGAGGCTTCCTGAGATAGCAGGACCAGCAAAGAGGGTAGAACCGTGGGCCAGGCCTCAAGTCCCTCTGGGCTGTCAGTAACAGAGAAAGCAGGAGCCAACAAAGCTGAACTGCAGGTGTGAGGAGGGGTGAACAACAGGTGAGGCCAGTGATGAGGTCCAGGACCCCGAAGTGAGATGCTGAAGTTCCCAGAAGCCGTGGGAAAAAAGGTGGCAGCACACACAGGCTGTGGAGCCATCAGACCCGGCTCTACCCCTCAGTGGACATGCAGCCTAAGCCTCGCTGAGCCTCAGCCCCCACCAGCGGGCATGAATGGCCCCTCCCTGGCTGTCCACAGGTGCCCAGGGGACAGCTGCAGTGAGCCAGCCACAGGAGACGGGCCACATGCTGAGGACAGGCACGGGGGCAGACAGGGGCCTCAGGAGAGAGTGCAGTGGTCGGGACGACCTGCACAGGCAAGGACGCCCCTAGCCTCCCCACCTGCCACCAGAGGGTGGGTTAGGGAGACACAGACCCAGCAGCTGGCCACGGGCCCGGGAGCCCGAGCGCCCTGCAGAGCTCCGGCCTGGCCAGCTCTGTCTTCCACAGAAGCCAGAAGGTGGTCCCCACCCGAGCAGGCCAGTCTCCAGGTGAGGGCAAGCAGGGACCTGGCCACCTTCACAGGCTCAACCCCGGCACCCTCAAATCTCTCCTGCCCCGCAAACAGGTCCCCTCCTCAGCCAGAGCCTGCTCTTCCTCTCCTGGTACCCACCGTGGGGCCGGCAGCTGCCACGCACCGTCTTCCCACACCACTGCCCCCTCGTGACAGTCGAGGAAGGGGAGAGGGCCAGCCACTTGTCACAGGAGGCTGGGGGAGCTGGTGAGACCCTCCAAGGCCTGGGCGCTCAGGCCGCAGGGCCGAGCGGGTCACTGGTAGCAATGTGGCCACCAGAACCCACAGACGTGCCGATCTCCCATGGCGAGCGCTCCGCGTGGCCGCAGAGACAGCCAGCAGGAGGGTTAAGAGCAGCACACGAGCGCTGTGTGATCTAACAGAGGGCGAGTGAAGGAAAACCCTCTTTGAACCCCTTCCGTGGGGCGCGGAGACAGTCCGTAACCCTGGCCAGTCCTCATGCTTATGAACGTCAGGGTCTAAGGCTCACTGGTGCAAGATTAAGCGAAGAAACAAAAGGCCAATCGCAAGCATGCAGAGCTCTCTGGAACCCCCGGGGCTGAGACACACTGAGGGAGGGGCCTCCCACTCCCGACACGCCCGCTCACGCCCGCTCACGCCCGCTCACCGCAACAGCCCGCGCTTTGTTGGCTGCGATGAGCACTGGCCTGTGCGTGGTGGGATGCCCTTGTGTCCCCTTTGTCACAGAATCCTCCAGCCCCAGCTGCTTTCCCTGCCAGGTCTCCAGCTTCCCAGCCACCCCTCTCCCCGGCACCGTGCCCCAAGCCGGCGGCCCCAGCGGTGGGTGCTGCACTCGCCGGGCTTCAGGCCGTGCCAGGGTCCCTTGTGCTCCCCAGACAACGCTGGGCTGTGAGCGGGCACGTGGCGCACAGATGTGCAGGCGGTGGGGGCTGCCTCTCTGTGCCGCTGCAGCTGGCTCGCCAGGCCCCGCCCCGCTGCCCCTGGCTCCCTCAGCCCCCTAAACAGGTGTCTGAGGAACAACTCTCTGGAGGTTCCTGGGGTTCCGATCACACTCCCAGTAGAACCCAGCTGGGGAAAAGAAGATTTGGGGGCCACTGCCCATCTCGGCCTGTCTCCCAGCTCTGGGGCTCCGGAGTCAGCAAGCGCCTGGTACAACTCTGGTGGTGCAGCAGCCGACACCCCCACACCCCTGCTGCACCTGCCCCCATGCCAGCCCCCACTGCGGCCTGAAGACCCGAGCCCCGTCTTCCCAGTGGGTCTAGCATGCAGCGATGCCCCTCTGGCTCCAGCCCTGACTCTGGCAGCTTCGCAGGGCAGCCTACATTGGGGGATCACTCTTCACCCAGCAGCCAGGGATGCTCACTTTGAGCGGAGACCTGGCTGGGCCTGGGGACAAGAAGGAATCAGACCACCCCAACTCAATGACAGACAGACAGCAATGATAAATCCTGAGGTCCAGAAAGCTACAGGTGACCCCCAAGAGGAAGAGCTTGGCTGACCCGGGACACCCAGGATGGCTTTTAGGAGTTCCTGAGCTGGGTTTGCAGCACTCTGGGGGTGCAGGAGGGGCCGAGTGAGCTCCCCAGGGTCTCAGAGGGCTGGGCACAGGAGGGGCTGTGCCTCTTCAGCCCTGGCCTCTCTGCCCAACGAGGAGTGATTCCTTGCCCAGAGCCAAGGACCCAGAGGGGTGACTCTGAGGAACAAGTGGGGCCAGGCCACAAGGAACCTTAGCTCCCAGACCTGTGCTTTGCTGACCCTCTGCCAAATGGCCCAGCTTGCTCCAGGGAGACCCCAGCACCCACACCCCAGGGCAGCAGCTCCGGAGCTGCCCTAACCTTTCTCCCCAGCCCAGCCAGCTGCCCTCAGGCCTGGGCCAACTCAAGAGGAAACTCAAAAGTGAGCCAAAGGCCCCAGAGCCAGGATTTAAGTCCAGTCCTTCCTGGCCTGGATTTAAGTCCCCAAAGCCCCACACCAGCTATGTGGCCTTGGAAGACTTGCTTAACCTCTCTGAGCGTCAAATACCTCATATGCACAATAAAGAGAATGGCAGCCCTATTTTAAGGACTGCAAGGCTATGTCTGTAAAACACATAGCAGTACCTGGCCCAAAGCAAGTGCCCAAGTTACAGCGACTCCTTTGAAGGCCTTCAGAGAGCCCACACCTGAGGAAGTCAGCTGAGTGGGGGCAGCGCTCGGGGGCTTCCTGGAGATGGAATCAAAAACTCCGACTTCAGGTTTCTTGTTCAAGCCTACGTTTTGCCAGACAGTACCTGAGGCCGAAGGGGCAGGGGCTTGCTCAGAGCCATAGAGGCAGGAGCTGTCCCTGTTATGGGGCCGACCTGGGCCCTAAAACATGTCTTGTTATTGGCCTAGAGGACAAGCAGCGAAGGTGGCTCCCATCCCTGCCCTGGAAGCTTCTCAGGCTCAGGCTCTCTGCCAGGCCAGGGTGGACTTGGCCGTGGGGCTGCTCCCAGAATGCTCCTAGTCCACCCTGAGGATGCTCCCAGCCCCTCCCAGAACGTTCCTTGGCCCTTTCCCAGCTCCTGGTCAAGGTCCTCCAAAGGAGGCCTGTCCCCCAGTTCCACTGCGGCTGCGGAGGCCTAGGTGGGCAGCTCCAGTAGCCTCAGGCTCAGACACCGACAAGGCAGGGACAGAGGCCTGGTTCCCCTGGCGCCCAGCCTGGGCCCACCCCGCCCGTTCTCCGCAGATCTGGACACAGACCTCATTCCCCCAGGCCCAGCCCCATTCACCGTGGCCTCGCTCTCTGGCCTCCATCCCCAGCTGACACTTCCTGTGGCTGCCTGAAGGAGCCACAGAGCCATGGTCCAGCTCCCCTCCCTTCCTGCCACCTTGTCCCCCCCCAGGGAGGGGAACTGCCAGGGTCATCTCACTCCCCACCTCTACTGTCCTCAGACACGGAAGCAGCAGTGGTTTGTTCGACTTAGCAGATCTCCAGGGGAAAGTTTTAGGGCAGACCAGAGCGCTCAGAGCCCTCCAGTCAGGAAGTCCTCTCTTGTATCTAACTACTGCCGCCAGGCTGCCCCATGATTACTCCCCTTGGACAGATGTCAGGGGAGTCAGATGTCAGGATGCCCCTGGCCCCTGGCCTATAACGGGCCTTGGTAAGGGGGCCCTGGAAGTCTCTTCCAGGCTTTGGACCTAGACGAGTATGGGCCCAAATCCACCTCCAAAGCTGGATGGCCTTGGGCAAACTACCCAAACGCTCTCAGCCTCCACTGCTTCAGCTACAAAAGGAAACAAGGGTAGGGGCCACCTTACAGGGCGATGGGAGCACACCACGCTCAGCAGATGCCAGGTCACACCTCGCCTGCTCTGCCCCGACACTCACCCTGCAGGTGCCACTCTCCTGGCCACAAGCTCCTGTAGCTCCCACTTGCCTTGACAGGCAAGCTTTCCCAGCCTGGCCACACTGTTTCCTACTTGCACCCAACTCTCTCCCATCACCCCACCGCCCTCTCTCTGTCTTCCCAAGGATGGAAAGTGTACATGCCCTGTGTTCTCGGCGGTGCTCCCTGCTGCAGGAGCGTCTGTGACCGTGTCACCCACACCGGCCTTTCTCCAAGCTCTCCTGCTGCACAGATTCGGCTCTTGTCGTCCTCCACCCAGCAGCCAAATTTTCACAAGCTCCCCAAGGCCAAGGGCCACCCACACTCACCAGCTGCTTGTTGAAGTTCTGGACACACTGCTCAAACTGCTCGTCCTTTGTCTCATCCGCCTTCCCCAGCTTCTGGAGGACCTGCCATGGCGAAGGGAGAAGTGGAGAATGTTATCTTGAGAAAGAAAGTGGCCAAACCAGGAGTGCTCCATCACCAATACCCCAGACCAGGGCCGGGGGCCCCTGGATGACGTCACTCAGCCCAGGGTGCCCTCCCCGCTGCTGTGACCTCCAGGGCACGACATGCCTATAAACACGTAGGTAGCAGTGCCTGGCCCACAGTTTTCAAGGAATGGCAACTCCCTAAAAGGCCATCAGGTCTGGAGGCCTCCCCAGCCACTACCCAGGGCTGGGTCCTCGACCAAGAGTGGGAGCTTGGGACAGGCTTGCTGTAGGGACCAACACCAGGAGGAGGGAGGCCTCAAAGGTAGCAGGAGGGACTGACTGGGCACCCTCCTAGCTGACCTCACACTGCACCCCTGGGTGCTCCCCTGGCTGCTGAAAAGTGAGCCAAGCAGGAACCAAGCAGGAGCTGAGCCCCGCCTTCCCACGGGCCCCATCTGGGCACACACAGAGCCCCTCGAGGGCGCACACGGCCCACAGCCACAGGCTCTGCTCCCAGCTGGGGATCTCAGAGGAGGACCCCCTCTGACAACATACAGCTGGCCCTCCACAGCTGGATTGGGGAGGGGCGGGGGGTGGCGGGTAAGGGTAGGAAGGAGGCCCAGGCCAGGAGAGGGGGGGAAACCCTAGAAAAAGCAGGGAGCCGGGCCAGGAAGCTAAGCAGAAGCCCTGACCAGAAAGGCCAGCCCACCAGGGCTTCCCAGACCTCCCTCTCTGGGCCTGCTCCCTCCGACCCCAGAGCTCCCCACGAGGGACAGAGGGCAGGGCAGGCAAAAGGAGGAGAGGAGGGGCACCTGGTGCAGAGAGGCTGCCACCACACCAACATTCAGCAGAGGCCTCTGCAGAGGCAGTAGCCACAACCCAATAAGAAGGAGAAGGAAATGGTGGTGGGGGTGGGGCTGGGAGGTGGGCGGAGGAGGTGGCCCCGCGAAGGCGGGCCCTGTGAGCGGGGGCTGGCAGGTCCTCACCGGCCTATCCTCCTCTGAAGACCCGTGGCAGGCCACACTGCCTGAACCCAGCTCTGCCTGCCCAGCGCCCAGGCAGGGTCCTGGCCCAAGGGGTGCCTGGTGCCAGGACAGGACAGGCCCTTCCCACCCTGTCTGGTCCTTGCTGGGTCAGTGCTGCATCCCCCCGGGAGGCCTGGCACCCTGCCTGGTCCTTGCTGGGTCAGTGATGCATCCCCCCAGGAGACCTGGCACGGCGGCCGCTCTTGGCCACCTCTGGCCAAGTGCCTGCTCTGTGCCGGCCTCGTGCATCTCGGCTGGGGCAGGAAAGATGGGTCAGACAGGATCCCTGTCCCAACACACAGGGAGCCCAGGCTAGGGATTCCATCCCGCCTGGGCAGACAGGGAAGACTTCCTGGGGGAGGTGGTGGCGAGACAGAGGGGAGAGCTTGTAGCAAAGGCGAGGGGACCAGAGACCTGAGGCACCTTACTGGGGAATTTCGGATTGCTTGCGATGACTAGAGCTCACAGAAGATGCAGCGGGAAGGCCGAGGTGGCAGGTAGAAAGGCAGGGTGGGCTTTGAGGACCCCCACCAATCAGGACACAGCCCATCGGGCACATGGACGTGGGTGCCAAGGGCTGATGCTGGGTTGAGGAAAAAACCAAAACAAAACCTCCACGAGCAAGTAAATGACACTCTGCACAGTCCCCAGGCTCCCCACTGCTCCCTGGCAGCCATCCCAAGCTGGGTCCCCCAGGAAGGGGGTAGATCAGGCAGGTACCTGCCTGGCTCTGCACTGAGCCTGGACAGGTGACTGAGCCCCCACTCTCAGGTGCTACACCACAGCCCCGCCACCTCCAAAGATAGAAATGGGTCACCAAAAGGGAAAAAACTTCCAGAAGTCACCAGGGCCACCAGGGAGAGCCAGAGGCTTCCAGGGACAGGTCAGGGCCTGGCAGACCCTCAAGGCAAGAGGAACAGGGAGGAGGCCCCTTCGGCCGCCTGCTCTCCTTCTCCCTGCAGAGACGGATGCACTCAGTCAGCACGGGGCCGCCAGTCCCCAGCTGGCCGTCACGGCTCCCAGTTGTACAGAGACGTGGACTGCCCGGCCCAGCTCCCGGGCACTGCTGTGTGCTCTGCCCAGACAGCTGGAGCCACACAGGAGATCTTCCAGCCTTAAGAGAGGCCAGTCAAGGTAAAAATCCACCCAGCACCCTTTAAAGAAAAGGGACACCTATTCTCTGAGCTTCCCGTGCCACATCTGTGAAACAAAGAGAACATTAGCACCTGCCTGAAGGATGACAAGGATCATGTCTATAAAATGCGCAGCAGTGCCAGCCCACAGCATTCAAGCAATGGCAACTCTCCAAAAGGCCTTCAGAGCAGGCTTCACGCAACTGGGGCTGGGCCCGACACTGCCAGCCCTCACTCCAGGTCCAGACTGATGGCATCCTAGGGTGCTAGACAGAAGTCACACACACGCACATTGTGTGTGCATATGGCAAACTCCTACGCACCCTTCAAAACCTTACTCAGGCAACACCTCCAGTGTGAAGCTGTCCCTGGCCTCTCCCTCCCTTGAAATACTCTGTAGCACTCAGGACCTGGGACCTACTTTCCTCACTGCTGTGTGACTTGCCTGAGTGTCTGCCTGGCATCCGCCCCCCACCGCATGAACAGCTTGAGGTCAGGGACGGTGTCCCAGTCATCTTCGTGTCCCCAGCCCCCACACAGGGCTAGGCACAGCACAGACACACAAAACAGCCTCGGTGGCTGCTGCTCATCTGAGCCATGGGCTATGAGGGCAGAGACTTCGACTTTAAACAAAACAGCTGCTTCTCAGCCGCGGTTTCCTCCCATGAGAAGTGGGAGGGGTATGGACAGAAAGCTCTCAGCCCTGAAGGGTGGAGGGGTGACAGGCACGGGGAGGCTGAGCCAGGATCCCCGCTCAAGCACTGCCCCACCCATCCACACGTCAGTCCCCACCTCGCAAGTGGGAGTGGGGACGGCAGCCACCGCGGGGCAGAGGCCCAGGGGAGCCAGCAGGTCTACACCAGCCTTGGCCTGGTGAGTCCTCACTGCACCTGCCCCCGTGTTAAAGGTCAGGGAATGGGGGCATGTGGCCTGGGGTCCCCGTCCTCAAGGAGCTCCCGGGGTGGCTGCCACAGGGAAAACCAGCCAGCACCGCCCGCCCCAGGGCGGGCCGGAACAATGTCCCCACCTCCTCGCTGGCTGCGGCTCCCCACTCCGGCTCCCCACTCCCCGGGGACTGGGGAGCTCGCCACAGCTGCGGTGCAGAGGCCTTTCTGACAGCCCCCAGGTGCCCAGGCCGAGACCACTCCCCTCTCGGCCACCTAAATGCTGCTCAGCCACGCCAGGGCCTGTGTCCATGCCGGGCGGGGCACAAGGCAGCCTCCCCCAAGACACACAGGCCCACGCTCGCGCTCAGAGTCCTCCCCACGCTGAGGGAGCCAGGGCACACGGGCTCCACCCCGTCACCCCGCACCTGCTCACGGGGCTGCCCTGTGCCAGGCCCATGGACAGGCCGCTAAAGCACGCAGGGGGCGCCGGGTGTCCAGGGCCGCGGGGGCTCAGGGAAGGCGGGGCCGCTGAGCGGGTTTGAGGGAGGAGCAGGACTCGGGTGCAGGGGGCTGGCGGTCCGGCTGGGACACTAGGTCTAGCCCCAGACACTAGGTCTCATCTGCACTTGCCACACGTCTCACTTTGCAGTGAACAGAGGGAGCCTTTGATAATGTGACAAGGGCCAGGGACACGGGCCCTGCCCCCAGGTGAGCACTATGAGCACAGAGGCTGGGCAGGGGGGAGGGGCCGGCGGCCAGAAAGCCTGCCGGCTCCACCGCTCCCCTGCCAGAGCTTCCTCTCAGCACCGCCTCAGCCTGAGGCCAGATGTGAGTGGGGCTGGAAGGCCTTGGAGGGACGTTCTGGGCCAGGGCAGGGAGGCAAAGGGGTGCCCCCATGGCGAGCTCCAGCACCTCCTTCTCCTGCCCCTCCCAAGCCCTCCACATGGCCTTTGTCATGCCCCACGTGTGCACAGAAGGCTCGGGGCAGCCGCTTCCCATAGGCGCAGGGAGCCCTGCCGAGCCCTCTACCAGCCACGCACGCAGGGCGGGCAAGGCGCCAGCACAGTGGGTCGCAGGGCCCAGGCTGGTGCACAGCCACCAAGGCGGAGGGAGGAAAGGCCTCCAGGTCCGTCTCATTTGAACTAGGAGCAGCTCACCACTTACTCCCAATACCAACCACCTCCTCCTCCCAAGGTAAGGTCTTCACCACCCTGCGACAGATGGCAGGTAACCGCAGACAAATCAGGACACAGCCTGCGGCCATCCAGGCACGCAGAAGAGCCATCATGTGGGCTCCCCCGGCTGGGCCCAGGCTCTGGCAGTCCCCCTGGGGACTCCGACCCCTCCCTCAGTACCCCCTGCACCTGTGGGGACACGTCCCCTCAGTTTGCACAGCATGGCGCAGGTGGGGGGATTCACGCCATCCAGACGCCAGGCCCTGAGCAAGGCAGGGCCCACACTCCCAGGCAGCCCTGGTCCTGGGTTCCCAGCCTGGCAGGAAAGTGGGGGCTCCTCCACCGGCTGGCAGCACCCTTCATCTCTGTTGTCAGGGGTGGCAGAGCCGGGCACACCCCAGGCCTCACCCCGAGAGTTCCCAGTACACACGCGCACACACACACACAAACACGGGTGCGTGCGTGCAGAAGGGAGGCCTGGCCCAGACTCTCCCACCATCCCACAGATCCCCTCCACCCAGCTGCCAAGCCCCCCAGAAAATGCATCGGGCCTTCACCTTCCTCATCATCTTCTCCCGCACCTGCCCCGCTGCTGCCTCAGGAAGGGTGGGTGCACAGTGAGCCCCGCCCGCAGGGCAGCTGCACCTCCCTCTTCCTCCCAGCAGGACCTTCGGCTGGAGACCACAGGACAGGATGCATATCTCGTGCCTCACACCCCTCACCCCTGCACTGAGGCTCCGCAGGCAGGCAGATACA